GTAATTATAACTATTATTAATTTTCGTATAGGATATACCTACAGCACTTGCGATGCGGCTCGAGGCAGTTACAGAAAAAAATATTTGAGATAAAACGGAGATGCGACTGACGATAAAGAGCATTTTTTTCAATATCAACATTATTGCCGATAATATATTTCAGTATGGCATAAAAGGTGACTCTGAAACAAGTGTGCAGGGCGATGCACTGAATAAACAAAATGCGCACTCCACTAAAACCATGACAACTACCCGCAGAAGCTGCAACGATTTTTGTCATGACCATTAAACCCGCACGTATAATGTTGGACAGTCGTGAGTTTTGACGATGATGTAAAATTCCTTCCAATGTCAGATGCACACACTTGAAGTTTGCGTATTTGTGACCCTGCATACGCATATATTTATGCATACGCATATTTGTGACCCAATTGAAATGCATTAGTTGTATCAAGGCATCCTTATAATTCCTCGTGTCGATAGAATGCAAATTATTGGTATGGTCAGCCAAACACACTTGTTGCATACGTCGTGCTGAAATCGCGGAATTGCCAATTCTATGGAATCAACAGCCAGTTTGCCGAATCTGTACAATCAGCATTTCTATACTATTTGAATCTGGGGTTAGGTCAGTCGGTCAAGTTCTTTTTTTAATATTTAAATCTAAAGGAACTTGGCCGAACTTGACTTTGTCTTGTAAATAATTGGCAAGCAGTGAAAAAGCGGTTATGTGGTTTGATAAAGATTTCATTTCATTTTCATTCACTATTTGATATTCTCAATATAAAATGTATGATAAGTGACCGAGTAATGAACTAACAATCACTTCACAGTGGTTCGTCCAATGAGAGTCGCATGGTATATTAATGTCCCGTTTTTTTCGAATAATCTCAGGAAACGTAATATATGCAAGATTCAGGGCGTGAAGGGCGATTCTATGATAGACATAAATTATACACGTTTATACAAATTCGAAAATGAAACAAACCGCACTCATAAACAAAACTTCCTATAACTGGTAATTACTGCTGCATGAAACAACTTCAAGCGCGATTGGCATCTTGCTGCTGATGTTCTCTTCGACCCTCTCCCACTCTCTCCGTCCACATATTCTACAGCCACAACCACCCCACTCCTACCGTCACTCTAGGCCTTCACCCTACTCTCCAGCATGGTAAGCGCCATGCTTTTCCCCTTACCCTACGATGGCTCCACACAAAATGCTCCAAATCACCACAGAACTACGCCACCTCCGCGACAGTATTGCGGTTACTATTTACGGTTTCAATTCTACTACAAACGTGCTCTGCAGCTCCAACCTGCGCTGACACCTGCTTTGAATTTTGACTGGGATATCCCGGCGATCTCGGGAAGCCAGGCTGGAACTTAGGAACGAGCTGGCCTGAGCTCGTTGCGAGGTCACATTTTTTCTGGGCCTGCGTTCGTCACCCATCATTTGGTTTGCTGCTCTGCATTTTCGGTGCAAGAAAAAAGAAGCGTTCTACTTCACTAAGCACAGACGCCCGGGCTACAGCAAGATATCTCACTGCCTCTGCAGACAAAGCTCCTATCATGCCCTCTAACGAATATTGCCAAGCTCATTTCTGGTGCTGAATTGATCTCAGTTGATCGACATTAAATTTTGCTACAACTGTGAACAACGCGGCTAAATTATTCATTGCGAGTGTACACTGTATTACCAGCGCAGAGTATCCATTGATGTGAAATTTACCTACACAGAAGATGAGGCTATATACATACCACTAACACACTTGCAGTATATTAGTGAGGAGTCTACTGGAACACATAGAGGTTCATTATAGTCTATTGGAACTTATAGAGGTTCAGGGAAGTCTATTAGAGCACATAAAAGTTTAGTGACATCTATTGGAACACATAGAGGTTCAGTAAAGTTTACTGGAACACATAGAGGTTCAGTGAAGTATATTGGAACACAGAGGTTCAGGGTATTCTATTGGAACACATAGAGGTTCAGTGAAGTCTATTGGAACACATAGAGGTTCAGTGAAGTCTATTGGAATACATAGAGGTTCAGTGAAGTTTATTGGAACACATAAAGGTCGAGTAAAGAGTGTACTGGAATACATGAAGGTTAATTCAATAGTTAACTGCAAAACGTGAAAAGTGAGTAAAATTTCTACTGGAAGACGATAGGATTTAGTAGATTATCTATTGGAACACAATATGATTGAGTGGATTGACTACTGGAACAAAATAGGATTGAAATGATTGTCTACTGAAACACAAGTAGATTTAATGTAGTGTTTACGCATTCCGTGACAAGAATACCACTACGAACAATACAAGAAGTCAAATGGGACCTGAATAGAACCACTGAAGCGTCAGTACAAAAGAGTGAAGTGTTGCTGCCAGTAGAAGAGCCCAGTACGCAGCGGCCGCAGCGACAGATTGCCGCACCGTGCCTCGGGCGAGCGCGGCATTTGCATGCTGCTCCCCATGCCCCCCCTCCTGAACTTCCTACCTTCCTTGCCTCTTACTACCTTTCATGTCCTCCCTGCCCCTACCTAGCCTGAGACATCCCTACTCTACCGCCCTTCATTACCCTATTTCAGATCGATTTAATTTTCCATAGCAGTTGAATATACAGGAAGTGTGCGCAGATGAAAAAGAGTCTAATCGGTTGTCGCCCATTTAGCATTTACGTGGAAGCATTGGCCCGTAATTAAATAACTGAATTAACTGACGAGACGAGTAGTATGACTTCGTCGGTTCAGCAAATTGGCTCTTGATGTTGTTGCGAGTGTCGTATTTATTGTACTGACATGAGTAAGTGAAACGATTTAAATAAGCAAAATGATAACGGACGTTAATTAGAAGTTAGGGTGGCTAGCAGTCGGCTAAACGATAGCCAATCATTTATTGCGCAAGATTTGTGAACTTTAAGTTGGGAAATCAGCGAGGATTAGGCTTGCCAACCATTGGGCTGAAGGAATCGGTACAGCTGGCGGTTCTCCGTCACAACACCGGGACTCGAGCTCACCTCAGCGCTCACAGATACTCTTGCACGCAGCAGTGTCCCAGTGAAGGAAGCTCTTGCACGCAGCCGCCTAGCATTGAAACTCTAGCACGTTGAAGCGTAGCACATAAAGTCTTGCACGCAACAACGAACCACTGAAATTCTAGCACACAACAGCGTACAATTGAATCTCATGCACACCGCAGTGTACCACTGAGACTCTAGCACACTGCGGCGCACTACTGAGACCCTTAGTCTGCGGTGTAGCAGTAGAACTCATGCACGCTATAGCCTTACTTTAAGAAACGTGCAGACAACGGCACACCGTGCAAGAGTCGTGCACACTAAAGGGGCTAAAGCAATACCACTGAGACTCTTGCCTGCTTCGGTGTACCACTGAGACTCGAGCACACTTATGAGTATAACCACTACAACTCTTACACGCTATGCCGTACCACCGAAACCTCTGGCTGCCACTGCGTATCAGAGACCGCTGTAAGCTACGGCTCATCTTTTGTGAGCTTATCTTGAATCGTTAGTTTGATATTATTAGCCAGCGAAATAAATCAGCAGATAAATCAAGTAACAAGTAAATCACTCTCAAAAAAGGAACCAAAAAGCCGCAGTCAGAAGAATGTCACAGGATGTCACTCATAAGAATGTCACAGGATGTCACTCATAAGAATGTCACAGGATGCTACTGCATGTCATAAGAATGTCACAGGATGCCACTGTCATAATAATGTCACAGGATTATACTGTCATAAGAATGTCACAGGATGCTACTGTCATAAGAATGTCACAGGATGCTACTGTCATAAGAATGTCACAGCAAGCCACAGTCACAGAAATGCCTTAAAAACAAAGGCCACAACCAGTCACAGATACAGGAACGTCAAAGGAATCATTGACTCATGAAGGCCACAGACAACAGCAGCCAGACATGCTCTTTTTAACTATCCGACTAACTAACAAATCTGATTCAAATTGCTACCAGTAAACTGTAATACAATAGCTTATTCAACCTTCTAAAAGTTCAATGTACACTCATTCTAACAATATCCGCAGTGATAATGTTGAAGCATTACAAGTAGTTACACCTCGTAAATAAAAGAGGCTATAATATTCATGAGTTTGCGCAATACGATACGTGCGTGGCAACATGTCTGCTTCAAGAAGCCACTAGAGCAGCCACGGCCACGGGAGCGTTTGAAGTAATACGGCAGACGCAGCTGCTTCGCCTGAATTCCTTATATAGGAATGAAGTTGCAGGCACCCGCCGCCGGTCAGCGTTTGGCGCGGAGTTACATCAGCACCTTGGCATGCAGGGCAGCCTCACGACTGTACCGGCCGCATACATTCCGCTACAGTCCCGCGACTTCTCCAGCCTCAGGAATACAGTGTTGAGCTCTATATATAACGCTGTACTGATCGCATACATTCCGCTACAGTCCCGCGACTTCTCCAGCCTCAGGAATACAGTGCTGGGCTCTATATATAACGCTGTACTGATCGCATACATTCCGCTACAGTCCCGCGACTTCTCCAGCCTCAGGAATACAGTACAGGGCTCACATTATAGAGTTGCACCGTATCCTATACATTCCGCTAAACTCCATTACTTATTCCAATGCAAGTGGCCGGCACAATAGCTTCAATTCAGATCCCCGTGACTTTCTTTCTTCATATGTGGGGACGGTTTCCATCTAAGATCAATCTATTGAATAAAAATTTTTTTAAAGAGAACCGCTCTGAAAATATTTCTTTGATTTGTTGCACGTCATCACATAAGTTGATACTGTAAATGAAAATTTGGCAGCATAATTTATTAGACTGCTACTCCGGTGCGCTGTCAAGGACAAGACTATTTCAAAAGATTCTATTTAATGAACTTGATCAGCACATAAACCTTCACATATATTAGCGCAAGTCACTGCACCTTAAGCGATTGGTGAAAATCACATTCGGAGTAGAATAAGTTTGGCAACAGATATTTACTCACGTCAAAAGTCACGAGGTCGATGGTGAGCCAAGGGTAGGTGCAGGAGAGCTTCCGAATAGGAACATTCGGGCCAGGCTCCTCCTATGGAAATAAATTTATTTATACAATAATTTTTCAAACAAGTATTTATCATACAAGCCAAGGTCAAAAATTAAATCTTAATAAAAAGATACAGAGTTTCATGAAGAGATGATGCAGTAATTAGATAAAAAGCACATAGAATGCATACTGAAGATTCAGATAACCCATGAGTGCGAATGCGTCTTCTTTGCTGACTTCACAGGCAACCTCAAAATTCTAGGAATGACAAGCACTACAGAACAATTAAAAAATCGAAATCGACATAGCCTTCTGAAATCAATTAAAAAACCGAAATCGATTATCTCTTCACTTAAACCTTCTGGAATGACACACTCAAGTATTACCACATTGTATTTACCTCATAAATACTGATGCCCTTATCGCCCACAGCGAGCGTGACTTGTGAGGAGGGTTCGCTCTTCTTCCTCCTGAGGTGGTAGAGGTGGACGTTGTGAGGCGCCTCGTCGAAGGAGGCCGCCTCAATGAACGCCTCCTGCGCCTCCTCCTTTGTCATCCGCTGGTGCTGCTGTTGAAGGGCGGTTACCTTAGCGATCACCTGTGATGACCCTTCACGCTCCACCACCTTCAAGGGATGCGGAAAATTTCGGGGATATAGTGACAATATAATAACTGATAGCATTATATTAACATCATTGTACCACACGGGTATCGCCATAATTTAAATTGACTTTGATTATAATTATTCGGGTTTACTATTTAGTTAAAAACTTATCACGAATATCATGAAATCAACAAACGTCATAGTTGTCATAGTTGACTATCATTCGATATTTGCGTTGAAATCCTTCCCTACTTAAATTGATTAAATATAATCATTTGACTGACTGACATCACACAACATTGGCGCAGAGCTCGGTTCTCAGCTATGGTCAGAACATAATTCCTTCTGAACATTCCAAATATTGTGAAAAAACTAAAAAAACGACTGTGTAAGCTTCAATTTACAATTGCTTCCGAAATCTTCACCTTGACTAAATGAGTTAGTCTTAAGGTTTGTGGCACCCGATTCCTCAGTGATCTAGTCCTCATATTAATGTCATGGCGAAATCTTTTTCAAATGGTGCTTAAATTTACCACTACAAAAAAAAGCTAAATTGGCTGTGACTTGCTCAAATAAACCAATTTATGTCCAAAAAAATTAAACCTTAAGTAATAATTGAACATATTTTGTTATAAATTATATCTATGCCTCGAGTATTCATCGCGCTATTGTATTACAAATCGTATAAATATCCCATATAGACATCACACCCATCGTCTTATAATTTGTATCTATGCCTCAAGTATTAATCGTACCCATTGTGGGTAGTAGAGTAGTGGGTCGAAGTAAGGAGGTGGACGATGTGCTCTGCCCGAGTCGCCGGAGTCGGCATAGTCAGCCTGCAGTGCCAGGGCAGCCAAGTGATGCGCCTGATCCTCCCGCCACACTTGCCCGTAGCGCAGCACGTTGTCGCGCAGCTGAAGGTAGTAGTGCGTGCGCGAGACAGCGTCTCTGTGCCGATACCGGGGAAAATATTTATGAGATTTTGATTTAGGAGAAGAAATATGGGCAATGAGCGAGACAGCGTCTCTGTGCCGATATCGGGAAAGTATTTATGAGATTTTGATTTAGGAGAAGAAATGTGGGCAATAAGCGAAACAGCGTCTCGTGCTGATGTCGGGGAAATGTTTATGAGATTTTGGTTTAGGGGAAGAAATGTGGGCAATGAGCGAGACAGCGTCTCTGTGCCGAAATCGGGGAAAATATTTATGAGATTTTGGTTTAGGAGAAAAAAAAGAGGGCAATGAGCGAGACAGCGTCTCTGTGCCGAAATCGGAAAAAATAATGATGAGATTATGATTTAGGGGAAGAAATGTGGGCAATGAGAGAGACAGCGTCTCTGTGCCGAAATCGGGGAAAATATTTATGAGATTATGATTTAGGGGGAAAAATGTGGGCAATGAGAGAGACAGCGTCTCTGTGCCGAAATCGGGGAAATGTTGATGAGATTTTGATTCAAAAGAAAAAAATGTAGGCAATGAGCGAAACAGCATCTCGTGCCGATATCGGGGAAATGTTGATGAGATTATGATTTTAGAGGAAAAATGTGGGCAATGATATATTATTAGTGAAATCGGTGAAATATTGATGAGATTTTGATTCAGAAGAAAAAATGTGGGCAATGAGCGAGACAGCGTCTCTGTGCTGATATCGGGGAAATATTGATGAGATTAAAACTAGCAAAATAAATTACGACTTGGGAGAAACGAGACACCGTCTTCGTGTCGACGTTATAGAAATTATTATTACTTTCCATTATTATTATTATTATTATTATTATAGATTACTATGAATCTAGTGAGGATAAACCGTTGGCAATAAGTATGGCGAAGTCCATGCCCAAATCATGAAAACAACAATGTGATGAAGAGTATAGTATAAAAATAAAACATCAAACCAGTCACGCACTTAAACTCCTACTCACTCCGGTACGTACACACTACATAGTTATACTCGCACTCACTGCCGGATGAACACAATTAGATTCTTACTTGCTGCGTGCACGTGCACAATTAATACCTTACTCACTGTAGTAACTAAACAGTTAGACTTTTATTCGCTGCACTACACGCAAAATTATCCCTAGCGCACTGCGGTAAGTGCATAGTTCAAGTTTTGCTCAGAGCAGTAGGATCATATTCGGACTTACTGCATTACGTGCACAGATAAACTCTTACTCACTGTTAAACGCGCACAATTATACTGATACTCACTGCAGTATGAGCGCAGTTTGTACATAGTACCGAACACAAAATTGGAATTGTAGGAGTGGTTGCCCAGAACTGTCCAAACCCTGCACGGGAAAGAAAAGCGAAATTATTCAACTGCACGGGCGATTTTTAGCTGCGTCTAATGCATTATAGTTTGGTCTAGTCGACGCTGAATAATAGGCTTAGTTTGTCCGGTTTCTTGTTCTCGTAATTGTCATGACTTGTCTGTTCACAGGAGATCTTAAATTTGCTTTAAAAAAATTTTTTTAATCGACGTTTGATTAAGTAGCGACTGGGCTTTTACCAGGGCCGTTATGGGTGGAATAACAAATTAATTACTTCTAATGCGTAAATTTATCAAATGTAATCATCTTTTAATATATATTATATCGTTATCAAACCTCAGCATAAAAAAGTAATTATATAAATTACTCATACTAATAAATCGTATGATTGATTTCTACTTAAATATTGATTTAGGAACATCAAATTTACTGGTATTTAACAGCTACGTACGTACTACCAAGTGTATTCGAGAACCAAACCCAACTGGCGGGACGCTCTTTGAATACCTACCACAAGCTCGCTCATTTGCGCACAAATCGTCAGAGGCGATTAAAAATCGAGTAACATGCGTAGTAAAGAAATTTGTGTTCGAAAAGTCTAGTGATTGTCGGAAAGTTCTATGTAGCTGCTACAAGCTCGGTGTAGATGCGCAAAAGAGGTCGACTTGAGCCCAGAGCCGCTGCTGCTGCGGGCGGTCAGCCATCGCGTGCAGGAGCAGTCGCTATGGCAACCAAACGAGTGCCATATATGAGCATGTGGTCGCAGCGACGAGCGAAATACCACAGCCTGGCTGGAACAGGCTGAGCTAAGGGGGGCAGCAAGGCTTGGAATTTGGGGGTAAGACGAGGCACATCAGCCCGTGGGGCTGGTCGGCCGCCCGGTTGGAAGATCGGTCGGAAGGTCGGTAGGGAAGTCGGGACGGAGGATTGGCAGAAGTGTTCCGTGGCCGGTCAGTCGGAAGTTCTGTCGGGAAATCGCTCCAGTCGAAGTGTTAACGGGGAGATCAGGAATGAAAAAGTCGCAACAGAAGTCTTTTCGGAATGGCAGTTTATAGAAAAATAGTTTGTAGGGTCAGCTGAGAAATCGCAAGTGAGTTCAGGCAGAGAAACGGCCTGAGAGCTAAAACAGAGCCCTACACACCGCATATGCTTAGGGAAGAACCACACGCTGCATTCCAAGCCTTCCACACACATTCAAGTGAAGGAAAACAAATCCTTGCTGAGGCTTCCCACTGATTTGAGCAGCAACAAATTTACCTTGACAAGACAGAAATTTTTCCGATGCGTCGTCGAGTGCTCACAGAGTATCCAAATACTGAATACTTGTTAATCAATCACCCAATCACTTAAGATGTAATGCGCATAGTTCTAGAATCGCAAACGCTGAACTCATTTCGGAACCTGAATCGGTACTCGATAATTACCCTTGCAGAGAAGCGCGTTTATTGGCGAATCTTACAACCACTTATACCAGATTCAGGGTGGATCAAACATGAACATTGAAGGAGATATTTACGTCAAGTCATGCTACAATAAAATTTTTATCGTAGTAATGAGATCTATGATGGTCGTAAAATTTCCGGCACCTGAAATTCAGGTCGTCAAAAAAAATCCCTAACTGACACACTTTGGAAGTGAAAATTTCCCAGCTCTTAAATCTTTGAAATCAAAATCTGTCGCATCCTATCATAGGTCATAAGCCCTCTCCAGAACATGGAGTAAAAACGCACAAGAGATCGTCCTGCAGAAAATGTACAAGAAACATTGGTCGCTAAGTATTGGATCGGTGGCACTGAATTGCTAGGCATTCAGCTCGGTAGGTTCTTTGGCCTAATTGAAGTCATGGAATTCAATCGCGTCTAATGTGGAAATGCTAGTACCGCTTCCCATTCCTTCTGGTAATGAGAGATGCGAGAGTATCTCCTGTAGACGCTACCTATCACTTGCGCATCAGTTTCTAAGATACCAGTGTTCAGCTCGTCTCACTATGATTCATTGAACTGCTTTGTGGCTGACGCAACCGTCTTTCCTCGATGTCTTTTCTTCGAAGCCCAATTGTAAAACTACTGTAGTGTTTCTCAGTCTCTTCATGAATTTACATTGTTTACGCTTGAATAGACAAGCAATTTAACAAACGGATGTCAGTGAATGTAGTTTATTTCTTTTTGCTGGGGTTAGCCTTAAATGAATTGTACCTCGGTAGAAAAGTTCTGTTGCCTTTGGTGATCTATATTATAGAATTTAATGGTAAGGTAAAGTTCCAAATCAGTGTCACTTCCCTCACTGTAGAAATATTATAACAATTTTGAGATCATTGCACAGCAAAATCGTTTGACAATGAGCTAAATGGTAGCCATTGGATTGAATTTCAGGTTAAATTTCAGGTTGACTCTCATTTGCAATACTAAAATAAATAATTATTTCATCTTGTGGAAGAGCACAAAAATGATCTCCGACCCAACTTTCAAACCCAGTTGAGAATAACAGATACAGTGTGTAAATATTCAGTTCTCTATATGATGAACTGCTTCCATTCACGGTAGTTGAAAATTGAAAAGAGAAGTCTAAGATAATATAAGAACTATTACTTATTTTCTTTGTTATTTATCACAATGTGTGGTTCTGATGTCATGGTGCTTGAGAGTCTTGTGCGGAGCACCCGAAGACAAAAATCCGCATACTTTTTGGGGTAGATCCGCATTCTAGCGAATACCGGAACGTTCGTTAAAAGGCTGAACTAAATTGATTCTGAACGCGAGCAACAACACATTTGGAATCAAGAGCTTGGTCTTAAGAGCATCCAACACAAGCATCCCACACTGTTAAAGAACTTTACCCGTAGCAAAGAATACATATGGACGTTTTATTACTCTCCAAACAGGTCATATAAATTCTAATTCTTCGTCGTCAAGGTGAAAGACTCCGTTTTACAAGCACTATCAACATTCTCGAACAAATTGGAGGACCAAATTTACATAAAACCATCGTTTAAAAGAGTATGGCGGTGTAATCTCCATGCTGAAGTACCTTGAGGAACGAGCTCTTTCATCATAACATTTAGGCAAAATTCTTCGGCAAAACGGATCTAGATATCAGCCAGGTAGAGTGGGAAGCCAACGGCAAACCAGAATCTCTGCATGAATCACAATGCCAATCTCTTCGTCATCTCCAGATGAATGCCCTGGATGTAATTCAGTGAACTCAACAGAATAAAATTAATTTGTTGTAAAAGGTAATCGCAAAGAAAAGTGAGAATTTGGGTTCAACTTTAATAGCGTTTGTTATGATTTCATAAAATCATGAAGGAATCCTGCTGAATTGATTTTTTATTGCACCCATTTTATTCGTGCTCAAATATAATGTTACGATTTATTGAATTCATTAAGTTGAATTCATTCTTTTCACATTTGAAGTTTTGCATAATTCATAATTAGACTGCCTTATAAATAAAGTTCCCTATTTATAAATAAATATTTCTAAGATTCAAAATGTACGTAAATTTTGTATGTACAAACTTGCACTTGAATGGGAGAATTTCAATTAGAACTTACAGTCAATGCTTTAAGTGTTTTTACAGTTGAAAGTACGAGTGTTTCGAATAAAAACTACGTAAGCATTCCTGCAAACACAGATCTCATAGAAGCCTTATAAATAATAATCGAATTTAGAAGCGTCTCTGCATGTGGCAAAGGCTAGTTTGGAATGATCTACTCAAATCTGGAACTTTCTCGCTTGTTCCGAGCGACATTTCAAGTTGTTCCTATGATGTCACAAATTCTTCGACTGTCGCAACATCAGGCATCTCAGTTCAGTTGACAGGTTTTCAATGAACCATGACAGTTTATAGGCCAATTAGTTAACAAGAAACATGTTTGAGTTGCTGGCATCTGAAGTCGAGGAAATGCCAGAATTTCAGGAAGCATACTTCGTCCGGTAGGCTTTAGCTCTCGGCAACTTTTGGTGTTCAGTGGAGCTTTTGTTTCTGTGATTCTTGTTACCAAGTGAAACTCTGGTTGCCAGTGGCTTCTTCGTTAACTAATGATAATTTCGTGGCTCAACAGAACTTTTGTTGTTCAGAGTGGCTCTGTCTGCTCACCGACTCTTGTTGCCCAGTGCTACTATTGTTGTCCAGTGACTCTTGTTGCCCAGTGCTACTATTGTTGTCCAGTGACTCTTGTTGCCCAGGGCTACTATTGTTGTCCAGTGACTCTTGTTGCCCAGAGCTACTATTGTTGTCCAGTGAGACTCTTGTTGCCCAGGGCTTCTATTGTTGTCCAGTGACTCTTGTTGCCCAGAGCTACTATTGTTGTCCAGTGAGACTCTTGTTGTCCAGTGAGACTCTTGTTGCCCAGTGGGGCTTTATTTTCATGGTGGTATTGTTGTTAGCTAGTACCTAGTACTGTTGTTTTTCAGTGAGACTTTTATTGCCTTATGGCAAAAGGCAAAAAGATGCAGACACAAAGATGAAAAGTTCAAATACATCAGTTCATATCGTGCAAATTCATCGTACTTTTTTCCGTACGATCGTACGTAAAAGCATGTAAAATTTATGATGCATAAGAACTTAACTCTTAACAATACACCGAGAAACGTTTTCCACAATGAAAATGTGGTCTCTAGCTCGATCCTTACATTCCAGTTTAGCGTAAAGAAAAACTATGGAGTAAAACATGAAATTTTCTCTCTCACCGTAGGCGAGGTTCTCCAAGCTCTGGACGCATACTTGCTCAGCTTCTTGTCGGAATCGGCAAAAACTCTCTCGCCATCTGAAATGTGAGAAACCAATAATACAATTATTAATCGAGCGTGGAAAGAGCCGTAACAAAACAAATATTGTATTGATGGTTGTTGCTTAGGGTATTCTACAACCTCTTATTTTTTGTGGATACGGTCAAGAATGTCCGAGGAAAATAGAGCATTTGCGAGAAAACTGTATCATAAACGCAACTTTATTGTTGTTGTGTAGTTACAGCTAAGTAGAGTGACAGCAACATTTTTTTGTTTATTGTGGTCATGAACATAAAAAATAAGACTATATAAGAAAATGAGAACAGCTATGAGTACCCAGCAAAAATACAAAGTTTTTTATACGGTTCAATGAACATGCACAGTATTAGGTTACGTCAGTGAAGTAAAATAAGGCTACACAAGATAGCCTTAGCCCGTACATCGATTTCAATGGATGATGTGACCCAAACTAAAATTCAACTGCACTACCCGCATGCTATTTGCGCGTCCCCTGAAGAGTAACACGCCAGTTCGTTCTTTCAAGAGCCTCAGCCGGCATTACATTGCATGCGTAAAAAACAAAAGCAGGTTCAACCAGTACAGATGCCCTGCTGGGCGCTCTGCTCAACGACTATAGTCGAGCTTCGCTCTTCCCTTGTTAAAAAATCGGAAATATTCGAGCTCATATCGCACCGAGATGCGGCCATTTTTTGCGGCATGCACGAGACCAAATTCTTGACCAGGCCGCCTTAGAAAGTAAGGAGGGTAATAAGTGCCCCGCTCGAGCGCGCAGGGTCACCGAGGAGCTAGGCTTTTTTTTCGTCATGTTTGAGCAGCGCCTTACGCTTCCTGGGTATGTTTTAAAATGACAATCTAGGAAATTTTTAAAAGCAATCTCGGTAAATAATTGTCAAATTGCCAATAGAAATTTCCGTAAATTGTGCTTAAATTGTAAAATAAATTGTCTAGCTGAAATTCACTTTAAGGGTATCCACCATTTGGACTCTGCCATTGATAAAAAAGTTTCAGATGACAAGATGTGTCTTATTATGAATTGGAATCAACTCAATTGTAAATAAATTGTAATAACCAAGTTATTAATAGAGAGTTTCGACTCAAGACGTGCAGAATTTCACTTATGAGATCGGTACTCAAGCTGCATTGAGGTCTCTCTACCGCCAGGCAGAGCGTTACTATATTACTGGCTACTCTGAAACATGGAACTGTCATGCATGCACCATTGTGTTGAGTTAAAGTTTCATGTATTATCAGTGATATCTAAACCAGGTTTCACAACATAGACAATTGATACTAAATTATAATTATATTGTATATAATGTTGTTACCGTTTCTTTGCAGACAAAGGCATTTATCGATTTATATAGTTGCTCAAACTGGAAGGCTCACAGAATCCTCAACTGATATTTTTATTAGTGATATTATTGATATTACGACAAAGCAATTTAAGCATCTATAATTGCATAAGAGGCATGATACCAAATATAGATTCAATCTTTTCTTTTTCATTCAATATATTCTGCTTATGGGAGTGTCATCAGAACATAAATGATTTTAAAATAAATTCAGTTAACTGACCGAGCTGCAGCGCGAGTCCGAAGAGCTGCGTGCTGCGCATGCCGTCGTGAGCGAGCTTGCAGCACACAGCCTCCAGCACATCCGATACCTTCGCCTTCGTCTGCAAGCAAATACAAGAGAATTTTACACACAGCCTCCAGCACATCCGATACCTTCGCCTTCGTCTGCAAGCAAATACAACAGAATTTTAATCACAGCCCCACACTTGGATAAAGGAATTCAAGCAGCTTCAACCTCAGATCATGCACCACAAGAAAATCATTCAGGAGCTCCAGTGGGACTGAGCTCTAAGAACTTAAAGCCAAATGTTTAAACTGGAGGATGTGGTTTTGTGTAAGTTTTTTTTTATTTTATGGCTATTGTAGAACGATGATTTCCGTAACTTTCACCTTCAACAGTACCAAGAGAATAGTGACCTGAAAAAATACTTAAAACTCGAACTTTTGAGCAAAATATATCAATTCCTCAGGAATTTATGGGCATTATTTAGGAGGCAGTTACATGCTGGTCATGACAATTTGCCAACCTGATGTTATTGCTTTATTTGCCACACTAAGAGGCATAAATTTGTCTGAATTATCTGAATTAACTGCTATCCAGCAAGCAGCAGATGAACATGACAAGATCTGGAGCAAATGAATGGACTTTACAAATTGTTTATTGCTATGAGTCAAATAATTTATGCATGACGCGCGATGAGCACAAAAGTTCCAATGAATGAACGTATCGACAAACACCGAGCTGAGCTCCACGAGCTCAAGAGCCTGGGTCACTCCAGGTCAAGGTTACTAAGAAACGTAAATATTGTATTTGTGGTTACCCCATGGTACAGAGACACATTTAGAATAAAGCAAAGTGCAATATCAAGTCGCTAACTTGCGTGGAAATGACGGCAGAAAATACGCTAGGTATAAGCGAAAGTTATCGCTGAGAGGCAAATAGACTCAGTACACACATGGTTTGAAAAACATTAGAAATTATTCAGCATCCATATTGCACAACAATATTCTCCTCGTGATTGTCTCCAAGGCGTAGGTAGCTCTATAGTTTGTTTTCCTCGCTAATATCACCTTTTGAGTTAGGTTTGGTATATTTTTTTTCTTTCCGAGCTCTGAATTCAGTTTTCTGAAAGTTTTCTATGATATCCATTCATTTGAGTCAACATTAATACCAGTTGCCGATTAGCTATGGGTAATGAGCACGAACTGATACAAACTGGTAGGTTATGCAGTTACAGGTGAGTAGACTGACTGTCACATCCTTTGATGCAGTCACGGGTGAGTAGACTGACTGTCACATCCTTTGATGCAGTCACGGGTGAGTAGACTGACTGTCACATCCTTTGATGCAGTCACGGGTGAGTAGAGTGACTGTCACATCCTTTGATGCAGTCACGGGTGAGTAGAGTGACTGTCACATCCTTTGATGCAGTCACGGGTGAGTAGAGTGACTGTCACATCCTTTGATGCAGTCACGGGTGAGTAGAGTGACTGTCACATCCTTTGATGCAGTCACGGGTGAGTAGAGTGACTGTCACATCCTTTAACTGACCTCGACGGGTAAAGTGATGCAGTCACGGGTGAGTAGAGTGACTGTCACATCTGTTAACTGACCTTGACTGGTAAAGTGATGCAGTCACGGGTGAGTAGAGTGACTGCCACATCTTTTAACTGACCTCGACAAGTTAAGTGATGCAGTCACGGGTGAGTAGAGTGACTGCCACATCTTTTAACTGACCTCGACGGGTAAAGTGATGCAGTCACGGGTGAGTAGAGTGACTGCCACATCTTTTAACTGACCTCGACGGGTAAAGTGATGCAGTCACGGGTGAGTAGAGTGACGGCCACATGTTTGAACTGCGCCGGGCTAACCGCTGCCCCGGCTAACATGCTGTTCTCAGCCGGCCATCTTGCCCCTAGAAGTATAAGTAGGAAAAGGAATAATTATTTCGCAACAAATACAATGATATTAAGCTCAGCGCCAAATTCGTTTAATAATTCAAGGTAATTGTCGTTTCAGGACAAGCAAGGTGGAGATTTTATATCTATGGTGTGCAACATAAAATAGAACAAGGGTTTTGAATGAGCACTTGCAACATGGACCCCAGAAAGGGAAACCAAACCAAGTGTACAACGATGTGTATAGTGTATAATTAAATTTATCCATTTATTGAGTAATTTTGGTAAATTTGTCCCTTCGAGTTCGTTTTGAGGGAATTAAGACACGAGCGGACGCGTGCTTACTAGTTCAATTAATTAAAACTTATCGCGGTGTTCGCCATTTCAGTCATACTTAGCACACAAATTTTATCGGTAATCGGTTATGTAAGAGCATAATAGTCAGGTTTACACTTTCTACCGCACCATTGCTATGCTCACCCTACCATATAATTGCCATAAGTGAGTGCGACACACATAGAATCTATTTTGAGCAGCGAAGTAACAGCAACCTGCTAGCAACATGGCAGGTGGGTTGGAACAGCAAGCGAAGTGGTAGTTGCAGTAATGGTACCTGTCGTTTGTATCAAGAATCCCATAGCTTGAAAATACTATTATAAATATCTGAACATAGAACACATTTCCAAATAGTTTCATTCGAATGAATTCGAAGCATACGATATGAAACTGACTTTCTTGAGTAGCGGAAATTCAATTTACTTAATTAAGTGCTAAACGTTAGAGTCTCAACAAGCGACAACTGAACCTATTTTAGATGGAATTTAAATACTCAAACCAAAGAATGTTATTTAAGCTCAGGGGGAACTCACAAATCTCGCCGGAATGCGCGACAAGGACAATTTAGCGCAGTTTGCTTCGATGTTTTTCTGCGCAGTGACCGCATTACGATCCTTGATGCTGCACGCAAAAGAATCCAACTGCCAACGAGCTTGCCGAGCGTCCATAAGCTGTGATTTGCTGCATTTAGAAGAATGAGTTGGCATTTTTGAGAAGCGCAGTCCTCGAGATGGAAGAGAAGTGAGCGTCAGAATCACTTTCCACCCCCTATTTTCTAGGAAGATATCCGAGAAATAACGGTTATCCCACACTGTTCAGTACCCACAATTTTCAACTGACTCATGAAGAGAACAGAACAAAAATCAGGCTACTCCACGACACTTCCGACAAGAAACCAATTGCTGAAAATCATATAATTATCTAATTACATAAAAAAAACGCTTTTGCTAGGTTTTAGTCAGCACCTACAGAAGCAGATATCTCTAAATGATATGGGTAAGATTCCACAGGGACTTGAATCATCAATCCTGACAAACCAAGACTCGGGTCAACTAACAACAATCACAAGGAAATTGATATAATTGGAAACATTTTATAAAATTCGAAACCATTTTCTAGCGGGATGATTCTGTACCGAGACGAACTTGTATACGTACTGCGCCAAGTTTTGCAACTAACAAACAAATACAATACAGTTTCGCGCTACAAATATGACTTTTAAATAGCTTTAAAAAAATGTCGGAATTGACATTAGATTCAGTAAGAGAGTGAATCTTTTGATACTCAATTTTCTAACTTTATATTTACATTCCAAATAAATGTTTCATGGTTTTCACAAATTTTTGATACTTCAACTTTTTTCAGATGAAAATTAAGATAATTCGAAATTCGATTTCATAAGTTTGATCGAACTCAAAATTGTCTAGCTCGTTAGCCTCGTTACCAACATATTATCAATCATTTCGACCACGACTACTTAGGTTGTTTGCGAGGGAGCGAACTGCAGCAAGCACGCGAAAACAGCAAATCCAAGAGCACCAGGATATGCACATGCATAACAACATGAGCGCATGCATAAAAACATGAGCACATGCATAACAACATGAACACATGCATAACAAAATGAGCACATGCATAACAACATGAGCACATGCATAACAAAATGAGCACATGCATAACAACATGAGCACATGCATAACAACATGAGCACATGCATAACAACATGAGCACATGCATAACAACATG